GTCAAAAAAAAACATGAAATTAATGGATTATAATTTCTGGCGTTAATATACACTTCTCCTTTGATTGGCTAATAAATAAATCTGTTTTTCCAATCCTATATTTAGACAAAGTACTTTGAAAATGTTTTGTTTCGCTCATTTTGAAAGGTAGTGTAGTATGGATATCTTAAGAAAATTGCTGCTATTACAACCAAATTTTGCATAAAAAATTTCAAATTAGATTTTTCCTGACCAAATTTTTCGTAGACTATAGACGTCTACAAGTAGACATTCTACTTTTTGGAAAGTTAAATAAACTTGGAATTAATACTGAATTATTATGATGAATTGTTACTGAATAAAAATTTGGTCAGGACAAATTAATGGTGACAAAAATCATAGTCTAAGATATATAGCAGGTCATTAGCAGGAGAAGTTTGCAAATTTTATGTTTTCTCGACGTTTAAACTCATTTTGAATCGAATGAGACCAAATTTAAAGAAAGTGTGTATGTGCTTTTGTGAGCCGATAATTAACTTTTTTCGTCGACAGTTTTTTTTTTCAAAACTGTTGGATTGATTTAAAAAATTTAACAGTAATTCGATGTAACTCGATAAAGACTAACGTTTATCAGTTTTACGCGACAATCGGCCATGCCGTTTGTTTATAATTACCAGAAAATAAATCTTTCCAAAATCTTCAACCGTTTTTAAACATTCAAACACTTTTGTATCAGAATCTTGACAAGAGCCTGAAATAATATCTATTATTATTGATTACGGCTTGCTTACGACAAAATAAATAAATAAATAAATAAATAAATCTATGCCTTTCGTGCATATGTACCTTCATATGTACCTGTTTTGTAGGTACTGATTACAGTTGACGTCCACAATTTCAAAAATACAATTTTAGACCCGAAATAGATGAAATGAAATGTGGTAAACAAATTAATTTAATTTATACGATCACAGATAGTATAAGTATCTTTAAAAAACATAAATTTGAAATTCTATTGATTATTTTTTAGTTCAAGTGAAAACTTCATTTTTGAAATAAAAGTTAGCTATTTTATCTAAATAGCTGAATCTCAATTTTTATTAAGTTACAAGATAATATTGATTTGATGATATTTATTGGAAGATAATATTGATAATATTCAATATGTTACAACTAGTATTTTTGTAATAGTCCAAAAAATAGTTAATTCTAGCTCAAGTTTTAAAGCTCACTTATATACTGCAAATAAATAATTTTAACTTTACAATTTACTTCATATAATTCTTCTAATATTAGTCAATATGATTTATTTTAAATCCGCTTCATTAAATTTTATTCATTTATTTTTCATTTAAACATATATAAACGTTGTCGTACAATTGATAAACCTTTGTATTTTATTTAAAAACACGAATAATGAAAGTTACAGTATTATAATGATCTATTTGAAAGCATTTACTCTTCCTCGAATATTTCTAGTACAAGAAGTTCTAGCAATTTGCCTTTAGGCACAATGCCATACACCACTAGTTTATATTCACAATCAAACGTTTTACAAAAAAACATAATTTAGAAGACATAAATTCATGACTCTGATATTAGTCAGGTAGTACAAAGAATACTACTACTATATTTTTAAAACCTAATTTAAATTCGGCCTCTCCTTATTCGCGTTTTATAATTACTTTTTAAAATCGTAATCTGTTTTGTGAAAAATATCCTGCACCTTCAAAAGTGCGAGTTTCTTCCCCACGGAGTTTCTTTTTCGGCCTTGAGATTCCGCGGTTTAATTAGCGCCGAGGTTTCCGCGCTGAATCGCTCCTTTTTAATTGGTAGCGCGACCGCGCCTCCAGTTGGTTTTTGCGAGGTGACATCGTCTGTTTTGGAACAGATTTTGGGGCTTCAAGAAGTTTTATTATTTGATTGAATCTCATTAAGAATCGAAAAATCGAATGGTAATGAAAAATCAAACGCATACGAGTACACTATAAGTTATTACAAACTTCCCGGAAGATAAGATATGCAAACAATTTCATGTTTTTCGACGTTTCAAGTCATTCTCGAATGGCTTTCAAATTTTTGGAATAGGTGCATGCAGCCATTTACGAACAAAAGTGGATAAAGTATCAAAAAATGTACTTTTGATGTATCTCGATAAAGACTCAAGTTGATTAGAATCGATTTTAAAAATTCAAAAACTGTTCGAAAAACATTGTTTTTGGTAAAGTTTCTAGAAAGATCGACGGGGCTGTTTCTTTGTAATTATCTGTTGAAAACATTTTTTTGGCGATTTTCATAAAGTTTATTAATTATTTAATGTCATGAAAGAATGGCTGGCAGACGACACCAGCTTGAGTTATTAGAAGTTATCGAATCGGTGGAGGGTCCCTTATATGGCCCTAAAATAAATAACTTCATGGAAAATGAAAAAAAAAATTATTCCATGTAATTTGCTTTTCAAACTTTAAACGCGTTTTTCTCGAAATGGTGTTTTCAAAATTGGTGACCAATATCAAAAACGGCTAATCCGATTAGACTCAAATTTTAACAGAATCTTCTTAAATATATTTTTCAGTGATTAATCGAAGATTTTTCTTATCTGAAATTTAAAATCTAGGCTCTACATTTTAAGATTTTAGCACCTGACAAAATTCCAAATTATATGTTGTCGAATTCATCAAAAATAATACGCACTCAATAGTTCTATTCTTCATGCTCAATATGTATATATTATGGCCAAAGGCTTAATTCTTTGGATCATATTCTTAAAACTTCTACAAAATTTACTTCACTATATAATGAACTTAAATTTTTATTTAAACACTATATAATTCACTTCGGTAAGTGTTGTATTTTTTTAATTCATAAAAATATCAATATCGTTAAATATTTATATTACTATAGCAAATAAATTAATTTCTACCTCAAAATACGGTCGGTAAAATTGAATAACTTGTTAAAGGTTATTTTGCGTAAAGTTTGTTTCATGAGCCATGTTATAGAGGTTTTCCCAGCTAGTTTATTTTATACAGCATAATTTCACATGAATTTACATAGTTTTATGTACAAATTTGCATTATCTTTATTATGCAAACTTGGTCCCTTCACTTTCCATCAGTGGATTTAATTAGATAAACATATAAGCCGCAACATTTTCCTTACTTTAAGTTATAAGCAAACACTGAAATAATATTTTTGAAAAGTTCTCAATAAATAATCAATCTTTAATATTATTTATTACTTTTAGTAAAACTACTAACTACTATTAATAAAGCTATCAAAATAAAAACAGTATAAAATGTAGAAAAAAATCCTGTCAGTACAAATTTAAAATATTGTTTAGAAATTCTATTTCATATTTTCGATTTATATTTTCTCTATATAATGTTCAGATCGTATATTCTAAATGTTACCATCCTGCACAGGAGATATGTAGTATATCTAAATCAATATAAAAGTATTTAAAATATTCTTCTCCCGAATATTTTTAGTCCAATTTCTATACTATTACACTATGAGCAGTAGTACAGCAGATACATTGCTATTTTTTCATTTAATATGGAATTTTTGTCTAACTCTTCGTTTTATCAGTTCGTATAATAAATGATCTTTATTCATACAATGGAATAATGCCAGTAATGTTGTCTTGAAATTTTGTGTAAAACAAACAACAAAGTTAAGTAGTGCAATCAATTATATGCGCGTTTGTTTATGCTCTCAGAATTATCAGATTTAATTATTTATTACACACATTATTTACATAAAACAAACGCTATTAAATGTTTAGTAGCGTCGACGTCAAACATTGTAAATTATAAATTGCATCTGTGAAACCGAATTGGGTGTATTTTGTACACATTTAATGGTATTATCAAAGGAGCTTTATATATATATATATATATATATATATATATATATACTAATTTAATATAATTTAGTTATATAACTAGCATCAAAACCGCAGTCTGCTCTAATCAGTTTAGAATTAGATGAAGCAGCATGTAGAATGTGGTTTTCAGCTATTTGTTCAATAAACTTGGCTAAATATCTGCATTTAAATTTATATCTTGAAATACAAAACTAATTTTGAAATTCTTAGCAAACATTGTTGCATATATTTTAACAAAATTGTGTAAAACAAGTTACAACTGTTACCATTTTTATTAAAATGAACTATGACTATACAAAATCTTTCTCGTAGATGAATACACAGAATACTGATTAAGTTTTAAGTGAAGATTAAGTTCGGTGCTTTTTACTATATTTAACAACCAGAAGGAGAAGCTTCAGCATAAGTCTTAGCCAACAAATTAAATAATCTAATTTTTCTCGATATTTCAAGTGGTTTTGTATAATTCGAACCCAAATTTGTAAAAATTATGTAAGCGTGTGTGTGTGTATGTGAGTCAAATTTGATAGTCAAATAAGTATCAAAACTAAACTGTTGAAAATTGAGGTTTAATTTCTTTTCCGTAAACACCTGCAACACATTTTATTTTGAAACCTCAAGGGTTTATACAGTTGCAACACTTAGGCACTCAAAAGTGTTTCAAAACAAACATTGTATTTGTTTTCTGTTGAGAACTTTTCGGAATTCATTCTATAGCACTCACAGTTAAAACAACATTTCTTATATGTTAAATGTTTTTTATGTATCACCTAAATGGTCACCTAATTATTTATGAATAATTTATTTATTAGAATCTAACATAAAATGTTATCAATGCTGCTTAATATCTTCGTCACACTGAATAATAAATTAAAATTCCATTGTAGTAAAATCAACAATTTATTTATAAAATACTTACTTTACATAAAAAATTACATCTAGTAACATTGATCATCAGAAATGCATTTATAAAAAAATTCAAAACCTTAACGATGATCCTTAGGATCAGCTTAGATCTCTATATCATATTTTATATGTAATATAAAAATGGGTCATATAAAGTACAAAATGACCAGATGGTTCTTATTATGTAAAATGACCAGATTGTTCTTATATGTATTTATACTTATATATCACATATCAAGCTTTTTTTTCTTTCTTATTTTGTCTTTTATTTGAACAGCACTTGTTGACGTAATGAATGAATGCCTTTTTCTCAACATGAAACCTAGAGAGCCTGTTGCACCAATCTATTAAAAAAAAATACATATAATTAAACTGTGGTATAAGAACAATTACATCAACAAAGTGAGATCAATGTAGAACTTTGCAGATATATTTGATAAACAACCTAGAAGTCCACAAAACAATTTTTTATCTATGGGTGGTCGTTTGCTTCGAAGTCCTGTGGCTGAGTAATGTTTTAGTTCGTTCCCATACACAAACGAAAGTGCTTCTCGCACAATTACTGACCAATCAGGTATGTTACCTGGCATCATTGATTCAATATATGAAATTTTATCAATTGGGAAAAAAAATCCACATTGTGGTGATATTTCTCTCTACAAAATAAAAAAAACTTTTAGTCCTAACTTTACGAACATGTTTAAAAATAAGTTTTATCAATAACTTACCATGTTTTCTCCAGGTGCATAGTATTTTGCAGGAATCTATGTTAATATAAACAAATTAATTAATTATGATATGTTTTTATATAATTAATACACATTAATATATACAACAAGATGAGTTGATAAATACCATAAAACTTTCATGCAACTCATTTTTAACTTCCTCATTCTGCATTTTATATGCATATTTCAATACAGCCAACCATAATCGTTGATGGTCAATAACTTCTTTGGTTACTAGTTGAATAGAAATATGACTCATTAACTCAATTATATTATTATAACTCAATCGTAGAGTGCATATTTATTAAAATAATATATTATACCTTTCATTGGGACTGCCATTGCCATGGCCTTAACATGTTCTTTAGAAAACTCTGCATCTGAATCATCGCTTTCTTCTTGTTCTAAATCACTAGAATCATCATCATCTATTGTTATTAAATCTTCAAAATCCTTTGCATTCCATTCCATATCCATCACATTATTATTAGATACAACTACTTCTTGCTCATCTTGCTCCTGCTTGATGATATTTGGTTCATCGATAGATGCAACCTGCTCCAGTTTCAACTTTTTGATGATGTTTTTGTCATCGATTGTTTCCTCGACAACTGCAGGCTTTGTAAGATGAACCAATTTTCCGCTTTCCGTTACAAAGATAGATTTTAAATAATTGAGATCATCTGAAACACATTTTATCTCTTTATGCTCTTTTAAGTGCAAGTGTTATATGAAGATGTATTAGATGTATCGGACAGATGGAATGAGAGATCCTATAAACTGTACAATACTTAATTATATATATATATATATATATATATATATATATATATATAAACCATATCGACATTTTCATAGCATTCGTTCAATCATTCAACTATGTGCATATTTATTTTTACATTCATACATTTGTCTCCAAATTTGATCAGTCATTTCGATCTCTTTTGGGAGATTATTAAAAAGACCGCATAATGAGAATACACAATGAGGTTATATTTACTTAAATGTAGATAAATTTATTGATTTACCATTGATAGCCAAAACTCTTACTGCACCATGTCTTCCTAACATGGCAATGCCATTTACATGCCTTTCCGGTGGGAATATCTTTTCCAAAGGCACGATCACCGAAGAATTATCGGACTTCCAAACTAAAGCAAATCGCCTATTTTCCGGCATTTTAATCTACATAAAACACTTTTCACAAACAAATATGAACTACACTTAATTAATCCTATATATTATTTATTACCGCGGATTCTTATGTACCGGCGCCAACCTAGAAAGTTAACGTCAAACACATGCCGCCCTAGACAATATTAGAATACCCCGTGTTCATACCCCGTGCCTCTCTTGTAGGTTACTTTTGTTCGGTCATTATCGGCACATTTCGGAACACAAAGCTCTGCACTTCGTTAACAGTGAAGTTGTCTATTTATTTTCGCACATTTTTTGAATCCTTTTTTGTACTTGAACTTTTGGGTTTTCTTAGTAATCTCTTCATAAAGTTAGTTTTTGCAAGTACGATTAAAGTTAATACAAATATTTTATGTATACGAGATTCACAATAGGAGAATATAGTAAATATTCAGTTTATTACTCGACAAAATGGCTAGGAAAATGAATTCAGCATTTTAATCCTAGGAAATCATGATGGTAAACGTGATACTTGATTTTGAAAGTTTCCAACAGTTTTATTTAGCACATAATGCATTTTTGAAGTATATTAATAGTACTACAGGCTTTTGGACCTTTTAATATTTTATTAAAGTTTATATTATTCAATTTTTTTTAATCAAATCAAACTTATAAATTTGTATCTTATTTGTAACTTATAAGTCTGTAAATTTTCATTTTGAATTTGAGCTCAGTTTGAATATTTGTCTGTAAATTTAAACAATAGATTTATTATTTATACTGAATTAAAATATAATATTAATATATAACTAAACGTTGTTTGAAAATTACACAAAACGTATAAATTTTAAGTGCTATTTTTCATTCTATGAAAAAAACAATTTTCTTACAATTCTTATTTCTATTATGAGCTTTGGTTTTTACTTCTAAATAAAAAATTATAAAACGTAGCGTCGAGGAATAGGATGAAAAACGTCTAGACGAATGTCTTTTACGTTTTTCTTGCTCACTTTCAATCTCTACTAAGCAATCATTCCGCTACGATAACAATAAATGGCTTCTCAAGAAATAAAATCAGCTTTATTTCTGCAAAAACTACAATGTGGAATGATTTTGTATGAAATTCTCTAGTATCATATAATATATATTGTGAAATAAAATATATATAGCCTCATATGGATAGAGTCTTGCAGAAGAGACTAATAAAGTGCTATGTACAGAGCATAGCTCTGTGTGTATCAGAGACATGGACTCTACGAAAAGTCGGCAATTACTTCCTGAAGAGTTTTGAAATGTGATGCTGGGGCGAAAAAAGGACTCTACAATCCTTAAAAGAAAAGGAAACTGGATCGGAGCCGTTCTGCAAAGAAAGTGACAACTATACGACGTAGTCGAAGGTAAAATAGAAAGACTGAAAGGATTGGGAAGAAGAAGAATGCATAAGATTGGCGATTTACGCGAGAAGAGAAAATATAGGGAACTGAAAGCTCAGGATCAGGAAGAATGGACGCAGAGTTTAGAAAGGAAAATACATAAAAAATGAGTATAAGGGAGAGGGGGGGGTAAATAGGGTAAGGGAATCATTTATTTTGTGATGGCTCCCACACCTTGAACCTGCCTTTGAGCAGACTATCGTTTATAATATTATTGTATAGATACAGGTAATACACTAGATAGCTAAGTGTAAATGAAATATGCAAGGTATTTAAATCTATATAGCTTTTTTATGATTTATTTTTAACAGCAATTACAACTTAACAAACCTTATAATCCGGTATTCGCTTCTTAATCGACAATCAATATATCTATATGATGTATTTATTATTACAATTCTTGTAATACTGATGATTTTTTTATTGATGCAACAATGCTCCAAAAGGCTATTTTGACTTGAAAACACATTGTCATCTACATTTTATAGTTATAGAAATATGCTTTAATTTTTTTTTAAATAAAACTTAAACGAAACAGAGATATTGGTATTATGTTTTTATTTGAAATCAATAATACATTAGGTATTAGATATGAACCTCAAATTTCTCACATTTTCGAAAAGCAGCTTATAATCAGATCCTAAAACCTTCTTTCGAAAGTGTTTCCATGAGTTCATTAATATTTCTATTATGTCTCATTTAACAAAGTATAAATATAATATAAAATTATTATTATAATTATAATATAATATATAATACAGTTCAGTTTGCCTTAAATTATCAAAAATACATTCTTGAAAGGGTTATACTAATAATACAATTAGTATATAAATAACAATAGTTTTCGAATGATGTGCTAGTACTATTCTTGTTGTTTTGCATATAATATAATATTACACAGAATCCAATTATTATAAATTTTTTTATATAACCTATTCTAGTGTTCACATCTATTTTTCCTTTTTTTCAAAAATTGACAATATTCTGCCATTTTTTTTTTTGGTCCCATTTTTTTTTAGATTTCAAACCTTTTAATCTATCTTCCAGTCTATCTTTAATTATCTATTCACAAAATTAAACTCAGATATATCATAATTAACTGATTTCTGATCCCTGTAAAGTCCAGAAAGATCAAATCTGAATTAATTTTGAATTTTCTTTAATTTAATTATATTTCGCTTAATGAGTAAAATGTAACATCTTATAAGATGATGCATTATTATAGATTACCTTACAAATAGTAATTTAATCAAAAAATATTCTTATTGCTTTTATCGAAACATACTATAGTATAAATATATTTATATCATTTAATTACAAGAACTACAATGGCTACAAGAGGCTTTTAGAGAAAGGCAAGGGTCTAGTAAGATATCAAGTGTATTTATTTTTTACCTGAATTTTCAAAAAATGCGATTTTTTCATAAATTCGAAGAATTCGTTAGAAAAATTTTAATAAACTAATAATACACGTGATGTTTGGTCGGGGTAGGAGGTGTAATTTTAATATTTATCACGACGTATCACCAAGAAGGAGGGGGGGTCTAAAAATCCTCAAAAAACAATCACGTGATTAATGGATATCCCCTAAATGTAAAACATAAATTTCCAACTTATGGGAAGTCGGCAAGTAGCTGTTCAAATATTATTCTCGAACATAAACCTATACATAGAATTGGTGCCTTATAATGAATAAAAGAATTATATTTTTATGCGTATGTTTACAAAATTAAATTTTACATTCAAAAATATATAAATTTTTTAATACGTGAAATAGATTATATTATCAGTCGTGTGTTTATGACGTGCGAAAAACTAAGGCGGTACATTTTTGTTGAACGGGGGGTGCAGGTAGAAAAAGATTGGAAACCGCTACCGAATCGCCCACCTGCATTAGATTTACAATCTGGTTTAAAAATTCTCCACAAAATAATGATATGTAAAATATAAACCCTCGTATGACCAGGCAGTTTCCCGTCTTATGCATTTCTTATCTCCTTGCATCAATTATTCAGCGGCGGGCCAATGAAAGTGGTTCCGCAAAGTGTTGAAAAGTTTCCGCAGACCGGAACTAATACATCTTTGATTACTCTTTTTTATTCGCTATTGTTCGCAATTGCTATTACATTTTTTTCATTTTTCATTACTTTTTCTTAGTAGGATATATAAAATGTGTATATTTTACTGGCCCGCGAAGTTTGTGCCCGTCACTCGTGGCGTGACTGCGAGACTTAGGGCGTTCAAAGGAGAACTTGTTACGAGCACTTAATGATTCTTCTTGCAGAAATTATATACGACATTCGTGTACAAATAGAGTGTCATTATATTTACGAAGTGATTTTTCGAAATCAAAATGAATGTGGTTGGTGTTTGATGGCAGATATTATAAAGAAGTGTTACGGATACAAACATCATCGTTGTAACTTTTGTAACCACATCGTTGAAACTACGTTTTTCGTAATGGGATAATGTAAAAATTTCATTGTTAATAAACTTCAAATAGTATAATAATTCAATAATTAATTCATCTAGTAATACATACATATGCAGAAAGCGTTTGCTGTCTAAGAATAAGATACTGTTCTGAAACAGCTTTTGACCATTTTTGAAAATTTGAGAACATTTTCATTAATTTTACTATATATCTAGAAAAATATTAAGTCGACTTAGATTTGAGTTTTGAGTATTATTTAACACCTAAAAAAGAAAAGCTGCAAACCTTCATGTTCTACCGATTATCTTTGTAAGTTATCAAATAAGAGTATTTGATATTGAATTAAATCTATTACTTTAATGTTAGACTAATGAGTGACTTATTTCAAATACACTTATTTGACACCATATTTACAAATTAGTCATTTACATGATATTTTTTACATTATATTTTTTATTTACTTCAATTGCAAGTACAGTCTATTAGTTTACTTTACTTTTATTCATAAAACTATCTCAAATGATTTACATTAGTAAAGCTTACTAGTAAATTAAAGATGCTTGCTTGGTAATTGATTTATAAAAATATTATTGATTAATTTATCAAATCATACTTAAAAATATTAATTTTTTAAGTTGTTGAAAATTTAATTCAAGTATATGATCTTGAATTGGAAAAACAAGATATTTAATGATCACGCCAAAGGAACAACTATGAATTACTAAATCGAATTTTATATTTTTAGATCAATTCATTTCCTAAATTACTATAACAGTTTTCTATTTTCACAAAAGATTTTGATACCTGTTATTAGAAAAAAAAAAGCTAGACGCCTCAAAACATTTGACGAGAGATTTGTAATCCCAACCTTAATAGGGTTTTTAGGAAAAATTACATTAACCCTCTGCCCTCTATGAGCCAGATTTTTGTTTTACATAAAAAATAGGCAAAAAACACTAATTTTAAGCCTGTACATGCAAATTAAAACAAATTACTGGCAAATTGTTGAAATTCCCGTAGAGTAATTAAACATTTGAGAAAAAAATTAATCATCAATTTTTTATCAATGCGTAATAACAAATGTTTTAAACTGTAAATTTTATCGTCATATTTTTCAAATATGTGTTTATAGTTGGGTGACGTTCTTTATCAAATCAGTGCGAATCATTCAAATTGGATGTACTGTTCTTTCAAAAACTGCTTGTTTTTGCGCATTTTGCTTCGTTGCTCCAGAACGGCTGAACCTACCTTTGCTATCTTACCGTCAACACGAATCGAATGTTTTTTTGAATCATTCAAATCGGTTGATCCGTGCTCCCGATATTGTGGATGAAAAATTGTATCCAAACATGTACACGTATATACACACACATACATAAATTTTTCCTAAGATATGCCAAAATATGTAGATGTCTTTGAATCGTAAACATATACAAAAAAAATCGATTTTTTACAATACTATAACTCACTTTGCGGGAAGTTAACTAGTGTAAAATGATGGAAGTAATACTCTATTTGATTACTTGTTAAACTTTTGTATGTATCACTTAAATTATTAATTGCTACTTCTTATAAATTTTTATAACAATTTGTAGAATATTTATATGTGTATGTGTGTATTTCTAAAATATCAAATTTATACTCACAGTAAAAGCTTGGTTAGAATTTTACACTCAAATTATGTGGCATTATTCTGCACACACATTCATATAACATTTGCCTGAATATACTTTTCATATTCAACGCCTTTTTAATTAACGTGGAAAGAACGCAAACGTATGAAATTATTTTTAATTACAAATTTGCACATTATAGTTTCATATTTTTAATTAAAATTTGCAAGGAAAAATGTTTTCAGTTCATAATTCTCAGCGATATCATATAACTTTACAAAGATACACAATACTTTTCATAATATTGTAAGAGCAGGAAAATTTTAATAGAAAATATTTCTAAAAATTACTAAATAATTATAAGAAGTTTGCATAAAGACCTGTTGCAATTTATTTTTTGATAACGATTTTCATTTATATTTTTTTTTTACTTTCAGGTCGTCATGTTAGGCGGCTGGCTCGGCGCAGGTTAGCGGAGCAAGCAGCAGACTGAGGAGCCTTCGAGCTGTATGTAGGAGAAGGGGCCGGCGGCCTCCATGCTGACCGATCGGGAGGCTGTCAGGTAAATAATTAGATTATATACATTATCAGATCAAATAGTATATTTCGTTATTCAAGACCAAATCTTTTACGTCACGCGTAAGTCTCTTAAACCTGATTTATTACTGAACTGGATGACCCGACAGACGTTGTCCTGTACCTATGTCTACAATTTTACTGCTTTAAATAAAATGAGTCTCAATTCTACACTATATTGGAAATTGAAGTTTTTTAAATGGTATAGCATAACCATAACCATAACATAACACTGGTAGGGTAGATCGGGGCTAGTTCAGCATAGGGGCAAGTTGAGCAATCGAAATATCTAGAAAACTATTCACCGTCCGTTTAGGCATTATATGGCGGAAAGATAGAAGTTTTGGAGAAATAAACATCCCGCGATCGCTAGTGGCCGCTTGACAAATGAGTGAGGCTCACGGGCGTTTTGTTTATTTTGAGACCAAAAAGTAAAAAATGTTATTTATTTTTAATCAGGTAAATGTTATTCTTTCATATAATTATAGTACGTTTAATATGCACAGAGATTCTGGGTATAATTCTCACGTTTTTTTTTATAAATATACTTTTATTTTGAAATTCCGAGTCGAGGTTAGTTAAACATAGTTGCTAAACTTGTTCTGTCATTAAGACAATTACTATTAACTTCCAGAAATTAATTATTATTTTTAAGACTTAAGCTAAGTCTATGAGTAATAATATAAAGAAATAATGATTTTAAACAAAAATACTAAATATAATGGTAAAATAATTCCTAAGATACGATATTGTTTTGTTCATTCTACTTTTGGTTAATTATTCAAAGAAAGTTGCTATAAGTTTTGTTTTCTCTGTCAATAAAGACTATAAATATAGAACTGGTTATTAAAAACATATTTTATTTTATCACTAATCGACATTGAACCTATGATTTCATTACACTTTCTTAGTGCACAACTTGCCCCACCTATGGGGTACATTTAGCATACTTGAATTTTTGCATTTAAGCAGCTGTAGCTTTTAAATTTTACTCATTACCAAAAAATAGTATTAACACTTTCGTTAAGCGTTAAACAACAAATCCATTAAGCCGTATAGCAATTTATTGAGACTCTTCATTGAGGAGATACATCCGTTTAAGTAAAAATTTGCTCAACTAGCCCCGCCCTACCCTACCTTATGTTGGATTAAATTAATTTAATTTTTAATCACTTCAGATATTTAAAATTGTATCTTAAACTTCTCCTAATCGATATCACAAAGGCCGAATTGTATTGTATTCATCTTTACTTTCCCATTTGTTATTCTGAAGCAAAATTTTTATGAATTTTAAAAATATTGTGGAAAAATGAGTAAAAGATGCGAAGAAACTATATATTGAAATAAACTATATTGAAAATTTATTATCCGAACCCCCTAAGGCATGCGCTCGTATTATTCGCATGCATTGCATTAAAGGTAGGCTGATTAATATTTAATTTATTATTTTAAGTGAATTAATTTGCCATTTCTTCATATGTGTATAAGTTAATTAGCCATTCATATTATTTTAATTTCTGGCACATTTCAGCTGCCTTTCGGCAATAATAATGTAGACATTTCATTTTTCTTATTCATAATCATAAAATTATACATATTCTAGGTCTAGGTTCATAAGTAAATTGGAATTTTTGGCAGATGATAGTTTTCATTTATTTTCAATGCAAACAATGACATGTCGTTTTTTGCATTTTTTCATTTATTTCTGCAATATTGAACATACATCCCAGTACTTTATAATCACATACATCCTAAAAAATTTCCTTAACAAACTTCAGAAAGATTTATCAAAATCCGAATAATCGTTTAGAAGAAGTATACAGTGAGTGCTTGTAATTTAATATGAACTTTATATAATAGCAATAAAGCTCAAATTGATTCTACGTTTTAGTTAGAAAACGTTTGTATGTGAAAAAGAAAAGGGCTGTTTTTAAGGTTTTTCCGGCAATTATTCGGTTTTTTCTCGCCGTAAGAACCATCCTTGGACTTCAACGAACGTTTTAAATAAAGAATTGGCCAAATTGGTCTAGGCGTTGTTGAGTTATGCGCTTACCAACCCATTTTGCGATTAATTTTTCTATATAAGATAATAACATACATGTTGCGATTTTTCCTTCCTCAGGTGGGATGTCGACGCGTCCCGTCCCGGTGCGGGGTACGGCAATGCTCTGGCGACGGGCGCGGGCGTCGCGTACGGTGTGGCTGCGCCGGCGGCGAACGGGCCGCAGCCGACGTTCCCTCAGCCATCGTACGCCGACACGACATTCGACCAAAACCAGCAACAGCTTCAGAAAGAAGTGCGGTACGCGCCGCTGCCGACCGCCGGACAAATGGCCGCCTCATCGACACCCGCACATATGCCGCTTCAGCGCGCACATTCCAGGTGATAAAACGAATCATATTTATGCAATTTAAAACACTAAATAACAATAATACTTAAATTTACAAAATTTACTTTGTAAATTTAATTAAACATTAAAGCATTAAAGGGTATTCTGGTCTATTTGCACGAATTTTATGCGATTTTTGAAAGGTGGTAAAAAAGCAAACATTTTTATAAAAAAAGCAATTATTTTTACTATATTTTTTACAAGTTTGTAATTAATTTTGAAAATCCAAAAAATATAAAATTTAAAAATAGTCATGTTTCATTTCTAGCACACTCTACAAATTGATCACAGCCCTACAATTAATCTGAAGAAATCTTTATATGTATTATTAATTTAGAATAATGTCGTAATCGTATGAACTACGGACAAGTTAAAAAAATGTTTTCTTTTACAAAATACCGACTGCTCGATTTTTTTAAATCGATTGTAAAATCGAATTTGAGGATGAGTGTAGTTCATACTGAGAAGAGATTTATAAGACTCTGTAAAAATTTGAAGTAAATCCATCCAGTATAAATCGTAGATATTAAATCGAAAAAAACAGTTTTAAGAAAAACGCGTTTAAAGTTTCGCGAAGAAAACAAACAAATCATGATTATGATGATCAAACCGCTTTATTTCCGGAAATAATTTAAATTATGAAAAATCCTCTTGTACAAATATTTTTGAATTAGTCGAAAAAAATAATTTATTCATTTACTAGTAACTTCTAAGTGAATACTTACGATGCAATTATGTATTTACAAGCATTCTATCGAATAACATATAATATAAATAAAATGAAAGAACAGTTTTGGTCCCCATTTTCTTGTTTAAATTTAAAAAAAATAAATTCAATTCATAAATTTTACTTTTCTTTATTTTCCAAGCCTCAGTTCTCAATTTTTGGTGTTCAATATTGATCCTGCAATTTTCTCTTCAGCATAAGTATTATCTTTTCAAGTTTTTTCATTCTTCTCATATCATATTATCTGCTTTTGAACATCAATTCAATTATGAATAGTGTTTATCCTATTCAACCATAATAATTATCATTCTCTATTGTTTATCTCATTTGAAATATTATTCTTTTACCATTTACAAAAAAGTATTTATAAATTATTATGACTAATAATAAATATCTATATGTCAAGTCGAAAATGATTATAGATTAATTTACTATTATAAATCTATTTTTTTATTATTAACCAAAACTATTATTTGATTTCAATAAACACATTTTATTAGAAGCTTTTAATTTGGATGTTATAATCAGTGGTGTTGTGCTAATATTTTTTTTGCCAGAACGATAAAATTTAAAATCCGGTTCATAAACCGGTTCAAAAAATTTGATATATTTCGATAAGAACTCACAAATCTAATATATTGACTTTTTATATAATTAACTCTATTATACACAGCTAGTCTATACATTAAATTGTACAAGTATGAAGGAATCATTGAGCACATAATTTATATTCTTCAATGACATTAATCATATTTATTCTGGTATTATTTGTATTCATTAATACCTACAGGTATTTATTATGATATAAAAGTACTCAAGATTTATTACAATATTTTATAAGACTTAACCTAATAATATGATAGATAACCTATTACCTATCATACTATATTATATTATTGTATATCATCGATAAATATCTATTATCTATCAAACCGTGAGATACCTATACCGTCATTATCTTATTAAATACCTACAGACCTTTTACTTCTTATAAATACTACTGTCTAATTTATATATTCACCTATATTATATAGGTTTACCTTACGCTCTATGTATTATCTCTACCTATCTATTGTCTATACCGGGAATTGAACCCGGGACCTCCGCGTGGAAGTCGCGCACCTTAACCACTACCCTATCGGGTACCCCCACTAATAATATAATATGGGACGCACTGTTGTTTCCGCGGGTCATTTTCTAATTAATTAGGTAATTAATACTAAGGTGGCGCGACGACACGCGAAAAAAGACGGTTGATTGTAGCGTTACGGTGGTGTAGTGGATAAGGTCGTCGCGTGCCACGCGGCGGACCCGGGTTCGAATCTCAGTAGGGTTAATGTAGCGTGTAAGGGAAATTATAGGTAATAGGATATATAGTAGATATAGGTTAGGTGTATTCGGTACACAATGTAGGGATTTGAGAGTATATAATGAAATATAGCGTATGGTACAGATGTAAGGCGTGTAGTATAGAATGCAACGTATAGGCACACGTAAGGCTATAAAAATACATGAATAGGAACCTATGATGTAGATGTTAGCGTATAAGAAATGCGAATGAATGTAAGATTTGATTTATAAATATTATTTTTTCTATAAGAAGTTCATACATCTCAATTTGTTACTAAATTAAAAACGACTTTGATAAAACCAGTGGTTTTGTGCTAATATTTTTTTGCCGGAACGCTAAAATTTAAAAACCGGTTCTAAAACCGGTTTTCATTTTTTTCCAGTTCCGTTCAAAAAGGAAAGAAACAAAAATTATTACAAAACCCATTTTGTGCACATATATGTATGTTTATTACAATAATAACATTTAATAAAAATTAGTTGAATAATAACGTATAAAATTTACTTATTAAATCATTTTCTGTATGTAGCGATGTTTTTATATTTTTTCTTGCCGGAACGCGTTCCGGCTCAAAAATGATTTGCCGGAACGACGTTCCGGCGCGTTCCGGCTCGACAACACCACTGGTTATAATAGTAACATAATTGACTTTGTTGAAAATGTTATAGATTGTTTCATATGTAAAATTAATTTCATTGTACTATATACACAATATACGGACTATAAAAATCTTAATATACTTTATCTTATGTAATCATATTTTATCTTACAAATATGTAGTGTTTCATATTCTGCCAAAACATTACCTTTGTATTCTGTATATTTTCCTGCTTCTTTTCTTTTTAATAATATTTTTGAGAGTTTTTGAATATGAAGATACATTCAATGAAGCAGTGATTTAAATTCCGTATTAACTGTTTTATTAACCCTCTGTGGGCCCGGGTATTTTGCAGGTCACATTCCAAATTTTTCGGTATATTACTAAATAATTATAGAATTTTTCGTGAGATGACGCATAAATCTTAATTCTATAATATCGCCAAGACAAACAATATCAATATTTGTGACTTTTGATAGGTTTTTCATCCTGAAATAACAGTTTCAAACACAAAGGTGCGAACGTTATTGAACGCCTTTACTTGAAAGTTACATAATTGATTAATATCAAAAAAAAATTCTTAGAACAGAATTTTTCATTTGTTATTTGCATATATAGGCTTATAGTTACTGTAATAAAATAATTGCTGGAGTAGCTTGTAGTTATCACATTATCACAATATAACAATTATTCTTTCAATTTTGATTTTGATACGTTCATTTAAATGGCATATTTAGAGAGGAGGAAGAATTTGGTGATGGCAAGTGTGCCCAATATCAAAAATGGCACTGGGATCTTGTTCTCTTAATTTTTGTAAAGTAGGCTCATAGAGGGTTAAAATGTTTATAGATCAAGAATGTATTTGAGAAGAAAAGATAGACGTGAATCATTTATAAATATCAAAACACCTTTTTAACGCGGATTTTATCTACCATACTATATTTTCGAGTATGTAACTTACTATATTTATGGGTATACATATATAATTGAGATACCGCCTTGTCTGAAAGCAAAAGCTCATGTCAAAATTTAGTGTAAAAATTAACCCGTCTTATGCACACGAACGAGTTATAATTTTGTTTTTGTTATGTTTGTTTTTCTAAACAGATCGATGTCATCTCTACCTCCCGAGCCTTTCATGATAATGCGTTCTAAGGCGATGAACCGTCGCGTGCTCATCAACGTCGGCGGCGTCAAACACGAAGTGCTCTGGCGCACCCTCGAACGGCTGCCGCACACTCGGCTGGGCCGGCTGCGCGACTGTAACACGCACGAGTCCATCACCGAACTTTGCGACGATTATTCCTTAATAGACAACGAATACTTCTTCGATCGCCATCCCAAGAGCTTTTCATCGATATTGAACTTCTATAGAACGGGAAAGCTCCATTTAGTCGATGAAATGTGCGTTCTTGCCTTCGGAGACGACCTGGAGTACTGGGGCGTTGATGAATTGTACTTGGAGTCATGCTGTCAGCACAAGTATCATCAGCGCAAAGAGCATGTTCATGAAGAAATGCGCAAGGAGGCGGAGAGTCTGCGGCAAAGGTCAGTTGTCGGATTAAGGAACGGTGGAGCAGTAACCGATGAAGTTACGTTAGGGCGAAAAGGTTAAGATTCTTTAGTAAAGCTTGTTAAAACGCTTTGTTGGCGTGGTCTTAAATTACAAGTCACTTAACATTTCGATCGCGTATTGTTAAGGCGTTTATTTCCCTACTTACGTCTTCGAAGTGTGTATTCCCATTACACTTTAAAAACACTTATGTGATCTGAATTAGAATTTTAATATCCCGTCCAGAAAAGTGTTATGGAAATGAAATATATAATTGAAACTAATAGTATATTTTTAACTTAAAATTTTCAGTCAATTCACACACGTCCAATAGCATCGCAAATTAACAATTCCAAACTTACAATAGTTAAGAGATCCCATACGGTACAATAGTTAAGATAACAATTATCTACAGCAAATTGAATTTAATTTTTATAAAACAAATACTATTTTTTAGAATGAAATGTTTATATAAGTTAGAATTATGTAAATAACTGTTGAACTCTAAATACCGGTCGACATATAATAATTACAATTTCTAATGTAGGTAGTATTGCAACTAATAATATACTAACTTATAAATTTAAACAATAACATAAAATTCATCAATACTCTACCTGGAAGGGGGCAGTCACAAAAATAAACTCATTACATTTACATACACAATGTAGGATTTTACTTTTTTTTGTATACCGAAGGAAATGCCTTTATGCTTCCCAGACTGGTCTTTTGTCTGAGTATACAGGACTCAATACCGCCTGGGTATAATACCGACTAAAACCTCCGCTTTGCCCTTGTCTTTGGTCCTCACGGAAACTACCGTTAGGCATTTCTAGGTGGGGGGAGATCTAGAATGTTATCAATCTTGCACTGAAATTATACTTATCTTTATAAACTTATACTGAAATTATACTTATCGCGAAGTCCCATTCGCTCTTTCCACAGATCGATTTTACTTTGCATTTGTTAATCCGCAATAATACGGATATTAGTAATAAATGTTAAACATTTCCTTGAAAGCGTAAATTGATTTATAACACAAAATAAATATGTGCAACAATCAGTATCGTTTCGTATTGAAAGAATAAATGAATTAAAACATACGAATTTACTTAGGCTATTGTGAAAAAAATACTGAATATGCACTTATAACCGGGGTCTACTTAAAGTAAATAATATACTATAAAAATATTTCAAATAAATTCTTAACAAAAATTATAATAAAAGTATTTCAAAATAATCCCTAACACGTATCTTAAGATTCTGAAGACACAATTACATACATCGAAATATATTTATAATAAAAATAAATATTACCCATGAACTGAGAGATTAAACTTATCAAAGAATATCTAATAAATTCGCAAGATTTAACAATAGAGAATGAAAATATAACAATATTGCTTTTAGAAATGTTTTACTGCTTATAGGGTAGAGCGGGGCTTGAAATCTGCGGGTACAAAGGTCCACCATCAATATCTCAAAAACAAGTAATGAGATTTATTTATCTAAAAGTAGAGGGCAAAATATGTAATACCAACCATCAACTTAATTTTTACGACATCACTATCAGGAGATAAACGGTTATGTTTCAAAATCTATAATAAAAGTATTTTTTTCATTGTTAGTTTTTTTTTATGGGGACTGTTTTTTAATATTGACATTAATATATTTTTTAAGTATACGTTATTTAATTGTTTTATGTAGATGTAATGTTAATTTTAATTTGCTCAACGATGTTTTATCTCTGTCGGTTGAGGCAAAAAAGACCAACAAAACCTCTACAATGGCAAAGGTGTAAACAATAAAAAATAGTTAATAAAAGAGTAGGGATAAAATTTAGAAAAGCAACATTAACACTGAACATAGTTCGACAGTATTTGTTTGATATGCGTTTTGATGGTTATGGCTTATTTTTATTTGGTTAATTTTTACAGTATAATTACTAAAAGTCAAATTAGACTTTTTGCCATACCCTATTCTGCTATAAATCCGAATGTTTTGTTAGATATAAATAAATAGCATAATTCTAGTCATTCAGAAAAATCTGAAATGGTATTAGAAATTTTCACTTTTAACCACATAGGCGGAGTAAAAAATTGAAAGTTAGGGCAAAAAATCTAATGTCTTTATTGATTTCATTTTGAAGGGATTTATAAAATAATAGCTACATTATTATAAGACTATACTGTATGCAACTTTTTCATAGAACTTCGTCAGAAGTATTTAGCATCAGAGTTGGGGTAGCTTTATTTTTACCAATTTACTCATTCAGCTTTTGTAAAATTATTCTTTGCACAATTGATTTATTACTTGTTCTGCGGTTTTCTTCACTATTTTCTTATTGTTTACACATTTGCCAGTATATAGGATCAGTTTGTCTTCCTGCATGTAAGCTTTCAGAGAAATTATATAAAAACAACTTATGAATCTAACTTAAAAATAACAGGCGTCTCATAAAACAATTAAATAACTCATGTATAAAAATTATATTCAGGTATTGTAAACTAAATAAATGAGCTCAGAAGCAAAAACAGTAACAGCGGAGACAAACTTTGGTTAAATAAATTGACAATGTGACCGTTATTCTTCTGATATCGACAACGCCAAGATTTAAGGTTACTGCTGGTTTCACTAATTTTGTCCTCTACTTTGAAATAGTATCGTTGAAAAATACACTACTTTCTTTGTTTCTCGGATAATTATGATAATTCTTACATTTTACCTGCTAACCTTTAGGCCCAGCTTTACCCTGCGTTATCACATTTTGGGGAAACATATTGTTATCACAATATAAGTCAAATTTCATTTATATATCATGCTTTTTTAAAATACTATCAATAATGGCGATGTTATGTTTTAAAGTCATTTATAATCAAGTTATCCTACCTATTTATTTATTTTATATTTCTTTCAAAATTCTAATTATTGCAGATCATACTAGTGCATTCGAAACTAAACTACTTTACATAAAACAAGACTAACCAACATATAACAATTTTAGACCAAGAAAATATGTTGCTTTACTATGGATCAAACAAATTAATTTTAACCTTTTCCCAACACCCAAGTTCATCGGTTACCAGCCTCTGATCTATTTAGGGACTAAAGTAAGCTTCAAGGAAATCCGTGATAAGGTTGATTGTCGATGTTGTGTTGTTATCTTGTGTTTTCAATAGAGTGTTCTCCACAAGGCGCTCTTGGAGCTCTAATTACTTGCCAATCTCAACGTTTGCGTTTGATATATACGGGTCTGATAGATAGTTGAATCCTGATGTAGAAGGACATGAATTCAATAGAATGACTTGATTTCTATAGCATATACATAGTTAGTAAATAGATTTGATTAAATAATCAAATTTAGCATTAATCGATAGCCTAGTTATTATCTTGGTATCATTAGAGCATCAGAAGGATTTTGACTAATATGAGTTGGTTGTGGGTTATTGGATAAATCATTTCATATATGTCAAATCCTGTAAATTAGTCAAGTAAATGATAAAATAATTTCTAGAGTAGCTTGTAGTTATCACATGATCACAATATAACAATTATACTTATCTTTATGATTTCGATACATTTTTTAAATGGCATATTTAGAGAGGAGGAAGAATTTGGTGATGGCAAGTGTGCCCAATATCAAAAATGGCTCTGGGATCTTCTAGAAAAACCTACTACAAGTATATCCGCAAGGGTGAGTAACGATTTTCAAAAAATATATTGGGTGGTTATGTTTGGTTTACTATTCACTATTAAGGGCTAATACCGTGGTTTAATATTTCTTCATGGTAATAATATTTACAAAAAAAAATTGGGGCCAATTGGGGCAACGCTATATTACGGCCATATCTTATTATGAATTACCAATTCATACCAATAATTTGTACGAATTACATATTCAGAAAACTGTCAAAAATGTATGTATTTACCATGCGATCAGGCGTTTTGCACATAAAACCTAACTTCACGTATGTGTTATCAATGAGACATTAGAAAGATGCACTTTAAAGATGTTATTTAAAGTTTGTGCATTTTGTATGTTAGGTTGTATGTGTAACGCTTGATCGCACAGCAAATACATAGCTTGTTGACGGTTCTTACCAATTCATACGAAGATAGGCCCGCAACATAGCGTTGTCATAACATTTCTGGCCCTTTTGTTTCCAATTTCATTTTCTGTTGTTTTTAGTTTTCAGTTTTTCTCGTTTTCTGTACCCACTAATGATTATTTTCAGTATCATTAAACATAATTACAAAATATGTGCATGTATCCATTCTAATTTGATGAAGGTAAATTAAGGATTCCAGAATTCTCAGGTTCAATATGTATATATCAAAACTGACCGGACTGAAATTTGTAAATACTCTTTTCTTACATATAGCTTATTCTTTTCAGCATCACTTTATCACCAAAAAATTTTCAATAATATTGAACCTGCACAATTGTATATATGCTTGAATATATACGATGCGGCTTTATCAAATTGCTTAATATCAACTTTTGCCAAATTTTATATAAAAGTATTCAATGTATATAAATTTGCTATTTAATAAGTGTATAATTCAATATTATTTAATATCTCTAGCACAAAGGTAATATATTTTCAATAATATGTAAAACTTGCGGTGTATTCAAATTTTAGATATATTCTGCAATCACGTACAGCTGGGTCATGTACTGCATATAAATTGTTTCGACGTCGAAGAAAACTTTTAGCAAACTTTTAAAATATTCTCATCTCGATTTAGTTTTGTCGTGAAAAAACATGTTAAATGTGAATGTCATAATACATAAATATGCTATGAAATAAATTTAATAAGCTGAGCTTAATGGAAAATATAATTTATATACTTTTTGACATTGTGGTCGCTTTACGTTTCAAGAATGTCGTTTTAAGGAAGATGAACTTTTGAGATATTAGTAATATGAAACAGTGATTTTAATTCATGGTCTTGGAATAAAATTTTTGCTTGAATATATATTGTGGCAAAAATATTATAGAGTATTTAAAAAGATATCGAAACTGCCTGAATGCTTGTTATCATATTTTAACAATATAGAAAATAATATATATTCTTTTTTCTGATATACGATGTGTTTTAAAATATGTAATATTGTATATTCATATTAGGTCTCTTCTTCTATTAACTCAGGTTGTTAGGTTTTAATTTAACCTTTGTAACTGGGACTGTATTAAACACTGATTTCTTAGTATAATTTATGTATTTGTTTCAAGTTCATTATTACACTAATGATTTGTTACTAAGTTCTAATCTAATTCCAGAATATATATTTATTGATTATTTATTACATACGTTGTTACGTGGACTTTGGTTTTAGAAGTGAGAAAAATAAGTCCGCTACCCCCTTTCCACAGAGTAGTAACCATCGGTGTAAAAGCTCAATGCCATGAAGATTGCCGCCTTCATGGCCAATATAATAAAATGAAAATACGTCCAAATATATAACTTGATTTATTATATTCGCTAAAATATTTATACAACTGATACCAAAAATTCTTTTCGTCTAAAATTAGCAACAATTTTACTAAATTGATTCAAAGTCCTATGAAATAATATTTTTGAGCTTAGAGTTTGAATTTTGAATTTTGTGAAATATTTAAAAAATGCTAAATTAAAGTTACTGTATTGAATAATTAACAAAAACTATACGATTATGTTTTGCTGCATCAAAATGGGTTAAAAATGTTAAAATGCATAATTGAAGTTAAGAATTAAATGGTGTCTGTCTAAATGGACGAATTGCTTTGATCAATTTTATAAATCAGATTCATAAGTAATATCATATGTTAAGCTAAATGACTAAGTTTGAGCAATCAAATTTTTTGAGTAATAATTTATGTAAAAAATCTTACAGAAAATAAGATAGGTATGAATATATTAGGACATCATAGGTAACAAATATAACTATTTATTATTATATTATAATCACACAAATTTTGTAAATGATTTTATGGGGACTTGGGAAGCAATGTTTATGATTGTTTGATACAAAATTTATAATTAACTCTTCATGGACCCGCGTCCATAATTTTCAAGTCGCAGTCCAATCTTTTTTATATTTTACCAAATTATGGCTTTTTGAGTTAATTCTATAACTTAATTGGTTATCAGACAACCAATATCATTATTTGTGACCTTTTTCAAGCTGTTCAAACTGAAGTAACATTTTCATATACAGAAGTGCGAACATTATAAGCCGCTATAGCTTGAAAGTCACATAATTCATTAATAGCAAAAAGTTTGTTTAAACAGATTATTTCTGGATATATCGGCTTAGAATTACTGAGTTTTTGTTTCTCTAATTTTTTGAATGTATAAAAAAAATGACAATCCTTGATGGAGGGCCTTAGTATTTCATCTATTCAATGACTATTTTTTTAATAAATACAATACTCAGAGACTTAGAAAAACAGATTTTTTGTTTCCCCAATTTTTTGAATGTATAAAAAAATTGGCAACCCTTGATGGAGGGCCTTAGTATATCATCTATTCAATTACTTTTTTTTTTTAATAAATACAATACTCAAAGACTCAGAATAACAGATTTTTTTGTTTCCCCAATTTTTTGAATGTATAAAAAAATTGGCAACCCTTAATGGAGAGCCTTAGTATATCATCTGTTTAATTACTATTTTTTCATTAAATACAATACTCAGAGACTTGAAATAACTAATTTTTTGTTGCCCTGGTTTTTTGAATGTGTAAAAAAATCGTCCACTCTTCATGTGGAGAACCTTAGTATATCATCAATTCAATTACTATTTTTTTCATTAAATAACTATACCCAGAGACTTAGAATAAGTAATCTTTTTGTTTCCTCAAATTTTTTAATCTATATAAAAATCGGCCCTCTCCATGAGGAGAGCCTTAGTATATCATCTATTCAATTACTAATTTTTTTTATTAAATACAATACTCAGAGACTTCTAATAATTGATTTTTTGTTTCCCCAATTTTTTGAATGTATAAAAAAAATCGGCAACCCTTGATGGACTGATGTAGGGCCTCAGTATATCCTCTATTCAATTACTAATTTTTAAATAAATGCAATACTCAGAGACTTAGAATAAGAGATTTTTTGTTTCCTCAGTTTTTTGAATGTATAAAAAACGGCTACCTGGTATATCATCTATTCAATTGCTATTTTTTTTATTAAATACAATTTTCAGAAATTTAGAATAACTAATTTCTTGTGTCCCCAATTCTTTTAATGTATCAAAAAATCAGCTCTTTCCACGGGGAGAGGTAGCCATATATCATCTATTTAATTACTAAATTTTTTTTATTAAATACAATGCTCAAAGGCTAACAAATATGTATGGGTAATTATGCATGCTAATATAGTTACAGGTTGAAAATTGACTAAGTTCGGTTCTTTCGAAAAACCATCTTCAAATCATCTTTTAAAATAATGCTCTATCGTCTTCCTCGTTTTTCTTTCGATAACTTCGAGACTCTACTATAACCTCTTGGTGGTGGATTTAAAGTTCGAGATAGTCTACAATATAACTACTATTATATATTACCCTTGCAGGTATTCTCTATCGTATCAGTGTTATTCATATTACTATCCACGATCTCTTTCACATTGAGCACAGTTCCTGCATTGCAAACGAGGGACTCCGAAGGTAAACTAACAGACAGCCCGTATTTTTCGATGATAGAAAATATCTGCATAGCTTGGTTCACTTTGGAATACTCGCTCAGATTTGGCTCGTCACCAGGGAAATGGAAATTTTTCAAAGGATTTTTAAATTTAATAGATCTATTTTCCATTCTGCCGTTCTACATTTGTGCTATATTACACTATGTGGTCGGTGGGAAACACTTGCAAGATTTCAAGAAAGCTGTGCAAGTTTTTAGAATAATGAGGATTCTGCGAGTTTTCAAGTTGGCTCGATACTCTGTAGCCATGCGGACTTTCGGACATACTCTAAGAAATTCCTATAGAGAACTTGGCATGTTGGTGATGTTCGTCAGCATGGGCGTGGTAATATTTTCTTCTTTGGCCTATTTTGCAGAGAAGGACGTTTATGGTACGTATTTTGTGTCGATCCCGGAATCATTCTGGTGGGCTTCTATCACTATGACGACTGTGGGGTATGGTGACATCATTCCAACGACCCCGGTTGGGAAAGTTATCGGGGTGGGGTGCTGCATATGTGGCGTCGTGCTATTAGCGATACCGATACCCATTATTGTGAACAATTTCAATAAATTCTATGAAATCGAGATGAAGAGAGAACAGAGATGCAAAGCTCGGAATTATGCTAATACTGGGGACAAGAGCCAAAGTATATGTGAGAACAAAAATGCTGTCATATGATAAATGATAATCGATAAAATAGTAATCGAAAATAATGCACAGGTTAATAAAATAATAATAGGTTTGTTAAAATAGATTTATAAAACTGCTTATGCGCTGTTAATTTGGCTGTGAAAAATTGCTGTATAATTATTTAAGGCGTTAATTTTAAGTGTTCGTAAAATATTAGTTATTGTTATAATTTAAGTCGTAGATATTAATATGAATTTAAAGACTATTTAAGGGCATAATACTATTATGAGTACTACATGACCAGCTGTATGTGATTGAAAATATAACCGATGTAAAAATTTAGGTTCTCCAAATGCAACACAGATATTTTAATATATTTATCGTTCAAAATCACTTAATAAAGGTCATTAAAATATTCATATCAGGCATAAATCATTCAAAATTAAATTTCATCTATTCATAACTAACAAGGAGAACCTTTTGTTTACTCTTCAGGGATTTTCATAAAACTTTGCATGGTGAGAGAGTTTAAAGTCAAACCGAATACATTGAAATATTATAGGCCTATGAGAAGTAGTTTAATTATAAAAATTAATTAAAATTGGAAAAAATAGACATAATATTTGTGTTTATAGATTTGTTTGAAATATATCAATTTTTGCTCGCAATATATATGAAATAAGTTAATAATTATATATTTTTTTCGATATTTAAATATTTAAATATAAAAATTAATTATACGCTGACGGGATTCGAACTCGATCACTTTTAACTTTCTTATCTCTAAATCTGAATGCAAAATGTAGGAACAGGCGCTTTGACAAGCACAGCTATCAAGACACATTGATAGTCTATTTGTTGCAATTGTAATTAATTTCTATAATTAGACTTCTTGTCATAGGCCTATCATATTTCCAGGAATTCGCTTTAACTATAAACTCTGTCACCATGCAAAGTTTCATCGAAATTCCAGAAGAGTAAACCTGAGGTTCTCCTTGTAAAGGAAACTGTTATTATAATTTATGTAAATCTGGTATTGGCTAACTAACTATTCCTTGTAGTCTAATTCCATGTGCCAACATTTTAGCATAATCCTTACATATTTAATCCGCTGTCTGTAACATTTTGTATTCATTGAATCTTTTTCATGCCGGACGTCGATCTGCGTTTGAACATGAGAGCATCCGGCTCGATGGACCACGATATGCGTGTTTGTGGAAAAAAGCGCCGCTAACAACAGATTGAACAATCTGATTCTATGTGTTTCTTGGCGTTTATGCGAGTATCGTATAAATTCGCTAACCCAAAAATCCATCGTGCGCCCGGGTGTGAGCCCTCGTACGAACACACTGGCGCACGGCGATGATAATGGGAAAGATCCGACTGTGATGGGAATGGGTCGAAGGCGATATGATCAGGCCGTCGTATAGCTAACAGTTTGTGATACGGTCGTTAAACGGAATATGGTACATTTTGGCATTCAAGCCACACTTGGAACTAGTCAGACTTCTATGTGCATGACGATATCACTTTGACTACTTCGAGATAGTTTACTGAAAGATTATGTTGTCATCTATGAATCAATGGATTAAGATGATCTCCAATAATATTTTTTGCACTACTTTATTAGGCGTCATTGAGCATTTACTTCTTATTAGTTTAACTGACACTTTTTTACTTTTCAACTGCAACTTCATTTCACTATTGATTAAAGATTGGAATTAATTAAAAAATAAATTATTTTATTTTGATTCTCATCAATTTGCGTCCATAGAAGTCTGACCTCTCATCTAGTGGCTTCTAATGCCATCTGTACCAACTAATTTCAAATTACTGCATCTTTATCCTAAATCCTCCAAATGTCTCATACTAATAAGGAGCCATTTGCAAGCTGGTGCTACTGAAATCATCAACGATTAATATATTATCCGAACTAAAGAAAACGCTTTGATTTGATATCATATTAGGCTGCACCTAATAAAAACTAAAATTATAAAGAAGAATTTGCATAATATAGCTTAGCAAACAAAATGGAAATGTTTACCTATAAGCAGCACTAAAATGTACACTAACAACATTACTTATACTAACATAATCCACAAATATTACCAGTATTTGTAGTATTTGGCATGTAGTTCACAATTAGAACATCAAAATTATAATTAAATAGAATTTGAATTTTTGCACTTTATAATCATTAAAGTAAAGCGGATCCTAGTTATTATTCAAAATTGCATAATATTTATTATGGTAATTATTTTAAGTTTTTGAAGCACTTTTTTTAATCTAGACATAATAGTAGTTAAAACACCACTTACGTGTAACAATTGTTTGCTAAAATGTGTAAATTAATCACACCAAATGATTTTTTACCCCTAAGTATGTAATATTTTTATTTCTATTATATTACATGCATGCTATTTGTTGTAGATGTTAATTTATTGTAGATGAGTCATTAAATTTATTGTATATGTCCAGTTAAAAATAAAAAGTAAGATTGTAATAATATTTTATTTTCATAGCTTCAAAACTAAATATTTTTATTGTTTATTGGATTATTGTCGTTAGTATTTGTCATTTTCGTAGCATATATTCTGTCAAAATAGAAAACAACTTTGATCAATATTTAAATATGTCATTTAAAATATCTTTAGAATTTAATATATTTATCTTTATGTGTAGATTAGTCAATCATCTATGTTTTTTCATACATGTGCCGTGTAATTGTCGTCTGGCATGGCTATCGATGTGTGTACTGCAATAAGCAATGTGTCGATGTTCGTTGTTGCTGTTCTTACTCTTATTACACCACACACGCCATAATCGCAAAAACATTTGTAACCAATCAATCATCAAACATCTGTACACATTCACTAATAACACTTTTTCAATCGCATTGACACGCCACAGTCTAAAGGTCACAAAGAAGAACCGCAACGAAACGTTGAGAATGTTATGAGAGAAAGAGGAACATTTAATATTGCTTACAAAATTGAAGTTTTATTGGAGGCTATCTGAAATTACAGGTGATAGCTGTGATCTCAATTCTCTTCATTGTCCTGTCCACCATTGCATTGACCCTGAACACAATACCTCAGATGCAAGTCTACGATGACAAAGGAGTGGTAACAGACAATCCTCAGCTGGCGATGGTGGAAGCAGTCTGCATAACTTGGTTTACGTTAGAATACGTTTTACGATTTAGTGCTTCGCCAGATAAATGGAAGTTTTTTAAAGGCGGCTTGAATGTAATAGATCTTCTAGCCATCATGCCTTATTTTGTATCTTTATTCTTATTGGAAACGAACAAGAACGCGACCGACCAATTCCAAGACGTGAGACGTGTAGTCCAAATATTTCGAATCATGAGGATATTGAGGATTCTGAAACTCGCTCGACATTCAACCGGGCTTCAATCGCTCGGTTTCACGTTAAGGAACTCCTACAAGGAACTCGGCCTCCTAATGTTGTTCCTGGCGATGGGGGTTCTGATATTCTCCTCCCTGGCGTACTTCGCCGAGAAAGACGAGGTCGGTACAAAGTTCATATCGATACCAGAGACATTCTGGTGGGCGGGTATCACAATGACTACCGTCGGATACGGTGACATATGTCCGACAACGCCGCTCGGCAAAGTGATAGGTACAGTCTGTTGCATTTGCGGTGTTCTGGTAATCGCGTTGCCCATTCCCATTATTGTCAACAACTTCGCTGAGTTTTACAAGAACCAGATGCGTCGCGAGAAAGCGCTGAAGCGTCGCGAGGCGCTCGACCGCGCCAAGCGGGAAGGCAGCATCGTCTCGTTCCATCACGTCAACCTGAGGGACGCCTTCGCCAAGAGCATGGATCTCATCGACGTCATTGTCGATACAGGTCAGTGGTCGAAATACTTCTACTAACCGAATTGCTATTCTTGCATGTTACAGCCTTTCGCCTACAGTGCGGTCCTTTTAACTTATGGTTAATATTTCTCTTCACACTCACCCATTTAAAGATGTAAGTTCAACATATTATACTTTTTAAAACAATCGAATAGCGAAAAGATTCTGAATAATAGCAGAGAACATAAATACGTATTTTTTTATTTTATGTATCAGCACTATTTTTGAATGTTCTTATTTTGTCAATTTTTTAGAAGTTTATAATTATTTTACAAGCGCAAATCAATTTGTTATACAACATTATCGTATATTAATAATTGACAGGTAGTACTATTTTTGAATTATTTACCTAGGAGCAAAGTAATACTAGTTCGATTGATGAGTCATCTGTTCCATTTGATTTTGTTGATAGCACAGAACCACAAAATGAAAAAAGTTGTCTGTGTTGGGTGTGCGGTATGTTTTCCAGTGTAGTTTTTACCGCTGAGCACGAATCTAAAGTCAAAATTGGGAGTCAGATGGCAAAAAGTTTAAAAAAAAAACTACAAAATCTCCGATATAGTAATTCTTCTGCAAAATAATCAAAATCTTATATCTTCTGTCGTTTCTTGACTCTTCCTGAGTTTCAATTAAATGATCTATTGGGATTTTTCTCAGTAAAATGATCTATTGTGATAATTCAGTACTAATTTGCAAACATATTTCCTCCCCGTTGCCCCTGGATAATAAGCTACCATCTTTTTAATTTGAATATCTGAAAATGTGTAGGCAAAATACTACTGTATACTAGGAATAAAAATGATATAGATCATTTAATTTAAACTCAATAGTCATTTAAGGTAAAAAGGGTCAGGAAACGACCTAAATTACCTTATTTTAATTATTGAGCTGAGGAAATATACTAGATTTTGCCATTTTTAATTCTTTTATTATTTGCCATTTGACTCCTAATTTTGACTTTAATTTCGTATTCAGCGGTAAAAACTACATTAGAAAACATATGCCGCACACCCAATACAAACAACTTTTTTTATTTTGCGAACCTGTGTAATCAACAACAATCAACTTTTAATTGGGTTTTTGGTAGATACATGTACCTAGTTTCTTATATCTCTAGTAGGTTTCACACAATTAAATGTTATTTTATAAATTAGTAATAGATTTCTTATTTTCATTTTTTTTTTGTGTTGTTTTAGTATATAAAACCTTTTTATCCATAGGTATTCATTTTGATCGCAAACTTACCGGTAACTTGCACGCAAATAACTACTTAGTTTTAATATGGTACATATTTTCAATAAATGGTAATTTGGACGAATCGAAAGGTTTTACCTGCATGCCGTAATTTTGCTTCACCTGTGCAGAACTAAATTTTACTTGAACTAAAATAGAGAGTTCAGAAATAATTATTTTGAAATGGATATATTATTGATACCATTAAATAGGTGAAAAATTTGACGATTTGCGGATTTTTGATATGTTGATTTATAGAGGTCACAAAAATCTGAAGACATCATTTTTTTCAAAAAACAAGAATTATTTAAAAAAAATCTACGTTTTGGTATTTATATGGGATGTCTTTCTTCAGGAAATATTACAAAGGAAAAAATTTTTTATACATTTAGACATTAAATTATATTATTAAAAAATGGGAAGAATTCACTTTTTACCCTAACGAATAACTATTATCAAATTCTAGCACTACAGTACATTGAATTGTACTGTATTCTGATTGTTATTAAAAATAAAATAAAAAAAATAAAAAAAATCTATCACTCAACTCACATCAAAATTACGTACAAAACTAAATTTTGAACTTCAACAGAAAAATACGTATTCCTTGTTTGTTCAACAGTTTAAGAATGATTATTTGCAGTTCACTTTTTCAACGAATTTTTATTCTTGTTTGTATATATGTCTATCATCTGTAATCTTTTTAGTTAAAAAGTCATCTTTGTCATCTATTGGTAATCCTATTACTTTGACTGTTTATAATCTATGATCCTTGTGTCAATATAGACGTTGGTTTAGTTCGTCAAAGTTATGAACTTTATCAAATATGTATTAGAAAATACCTTTGTGATCCACCAAAACTTTTTGTTTCCTCGTGCACTTGCATGCAAATCATATCGTAGAAAGTATAAAAGTTTTATCGAAATTGCCAGACAAAATTCTGAATACATATTGGTCTCATATCTTTTAAAATTACTGAATGAATCGTAAGTGTTTCTAAAATTCCTGAAGAAAAAAGCTTATTAGTTTATCACTTTCCAATTACATTGTCCATGTGTTTATTACATTTGGTGTAAACCTAGCACTTCCAAAAGTGAAATATTTAGTTCTGCATAAAAATTTCAATGTTTTTGCTGTAAATTATCCTGCTTTTGTTGTGCTGTGTAGCGTTGGTGTTAAGACTTGGTTTTCTCTCTTACTTCCACCAGGTGACAAGTGCTTACTCGTCGATGCCAACAGGCGAGATGTCTCAGACCACATTAGTTCAATTAGCTAAAACAACATTACCAAATTAGTACAAAACACATCTACTTCAAAAAGCAAACCTTTCGAACACCGATTCGATGGAATAATAATGGAACGATAATTCCTACAATGAATCTATACACAAAGTCTCTGCCATGTACTTCGAACTAATCTCATTATTAGACTAAATTGCTATGAGCTTATACTAAGCAAGTGATCTTTTAAATAAGATAAATCAAATCTTCTCGGATGAAATTAGGATGCGGAAAATGGTTTCAGTCGTATTTGAATAGAATTGATTTTTTATCATGAGTATTCATGATATTCATGAGTATTTTAAACACTCGTCGAAACGCCTCGAATTAGTGTTATTTTTGAAAAATCATAGGTAATTATAACATTTTTGTTTTGGTACTGTACACCATTAAATACAAACTTGATATTTTATTCATTCGGTTTGAATAAGGCTGCATTTTTTATCAAATTGGCAAATATTTTGAGGGAACTATAGTTTTTGTGTAAAATTTTCCCCGAATTACGTGATATTTTATCAAGATCATATGCTGTAACATTACAGTTAGAATATTTTATTAATATTTGATATTTTTTTGTTCGATTTGAATCAGATACACAATCATTTTATCAAATGTTTTCGGCTTGTTAATAAGTTGACCGTACATCTCAATTTAGCCGGGACAGCCCCGGATTTCACCTTGTGACCCGAGTTTTTTAAAATCATTTTTGTCCCGGATTCAGATTTTTTGTTCCTTATTGTCCCGTGTTTTCAAAAAGTATAGACTTAAATTGAATTTTCGCTCTTATTAACTTCCCGAAGGAAAAGTTTATGTTTTGATAATAAAATTACAATTATCCAATCTAATATCTGCTCATGTGAAACAATACGTTATGAATGAAAAAATTGCTGAATAGAAAATTAAGGATTAATGTTGCTTCTTACATTAAAAATTTCGACAAAAAATAACAAAAATTATGAAAACTTTTTGACTGCTGTCTGGCAAAAGTACTATTTTTTTTAAAGATGATCATAAAAAATATACAAAATTTTATAAAAGATTAGGAGCGAACTATACAAGGTATAATAAAACATTTAATCGAATAATAAAGTTCTTACTAAAAGTCAATAATTATGATTAAAAAAATTGATTTTTATTGCATTCCTAAATAGTATTTGTTATATTAAAAATTTTAAGTTTTGTTGCATACACCCCCCTCCCCCCGGACCGACCTGGATTAGCAAAACTAAAAATTACTGTCCCAATTTTGACTTAAAATATGGTCACCTTATTGATACATGTTTTGAAACAGTCTAAAATTTAAGGAATATTTATTTTTGTATTTTTCTCTCAAAATTAAATTGTTAAAAATAGTGTTACGTTTGTAATTTTTTCCTTAATATACAGGGTGTCCCAGAACTCAACACCAAACCGAACTGAATGATAGTAACTCTTACGAAAAAAAATGGAAAAAAATCGATGTAGTTTCATATGAGCTTTTAAGTGCAACCTAGAGCTTTTGTGAAACTGTGACTATTTTTCGGTTATTTTGATTTTGATTTTGATTAATTTTGTTTATTCAGAGTCTAAATTTTATACTCTGAGCCCCTAACCGCAAATAATATTTGCCCCAAGTTTACTAGAACTAAAACAATTTGTTAAAATATGAATTCGAAATTTTCAATATTTGTCAAATTTAAAAGACCCTCATTTTATTTGTTTATTAATTTTTGATGTCGTTTGATGTCAGAAATTATTAGCCGTTGTTGACTATATATTCGATTCTGAAAAAACTTGGAATTCCATATTCAAATACACTGAAATTATTTTCAAGCATCTATATCTTTTTTCCTATCAGACGTACTTTGTGATGACATTTATAAATGTTTTATTTTATTGTATTGCACCTCGTAAAAATCGGTAATATGCACAATTTTATGCATACTTTTGCATTATAAAATAACGAAAATAAATTTAACCATATTTAAAAGAAATTAGACAAATCTGTATATCATTATACTATTACTAATGTATAAGATTCAGCGTGCTTACTACTATAAGTGCCTAAACGTGTATAGTTTTTAAAAACTTAAAAAGTAAATAAATTTAAGTTTAATATTTATCGAATACGTTAAATAATGATGTTAATAGTATTAAATATATATTAATTACATGAAGTACCTAATTGCTGTAAAGGAAATAGCGATGCATTTATATTCATATTACATAATTACGTTAATAACTAAGAGATTCTAATATTTATGTTATAATTTAAATGCATTTATTAATCTTGTTCTGTTAAATTTTTAGTGGAATGAAAAATTCTAATGATCTATTTCGATAAAGCAAATATGATTATCCTAGAATTTTCTTTCCCAAAAAAAAATTAAGAACTAAAATAGTTATTTTCAGTATTAGTTAAAAAAAAATTAAAGTTGTATGTTTAACCTTGTAGGGAATAACAAAGTATTGATATGCTTATGAATTTTATAAATGACAAATCACTAACTGCATAAATAACAAACTCCAATAGAAGGGACTGGTAAACATTTTGAACAATTTGATAAAAAATTGGATACAAATATCAATTTTGCTTTTGAGAAAAGTAATATCAAAAGTTCTCCATTGAATCCACTTATAAATATTATTTCGATAATCTACTTTATGATTAGTAGTTTAATTACTTTTAGTCCAGTTAAAAATTAATATATATATTGCAGCATTTGTTTGCTCAGGCGTTTATAATTGTCGTTTTTGAGGTCTATTTTTATGCAAAAATAAATATATCATTTTTCTAATTTTACTTGAAGTAAAAAATCATAAAAGTATATCAACGTTAAAAAGTGAACGAAAGTATTGCTCCAAATTAAAATTGATTATTTTAATAAGCACACGTGGTCATAATGTAAGAATTTATCTAAAGAAATTTTGCACTTTTTAAAAAAAAAAACTAGAAATCTCGTAATTAATAGATCTTCGTATTTCGTGATAACCTAAAATAAAACCACTAAATATTTATTTACTTTTGATATTTTTAAATAAGCAATAAATGTATTTTAATATTGATACATAAATTCATTCTTTTAGTCAATTTTCAAACTTAGTCATTTATTTTTCAAGTTATTAAGTTAAAGTTAAACATTTCAGATATTTATTACCTTTATTATTTACTGTCGTTGCAAAACGACTTGTCGACACGAGCACTGCATACATTGCACAACTTTTTTAACTTTATACTTAAAAGTTTTACTAAACTATCGTATACAGCATAGTTATATTTTATTTTTATGTCGACATAGAAAATATCTGTTAAATCTTCAAAGCGTTAAATTACACACATATAATCTAAAGATCGTATGTAAAATTATCACAATGTTTTTTTTTTATATTTAATTTATTTATGATAAACAGAATTTACGGCACAAAATAAGCAATAAAGTGCCGATTTCTGTTGTAACTTTATGGAAAGTTTTGCGATTAATCTGTAAAACAAGTCTTATAGAATTTATGTACCGATTCTTCCACATAATAGACCAATTTTATGGAAAGTTTATGATATGAAGAAATTTTCATACTAATTCGTTCTAAATATTGACAAAATCACTATGTGGTTGCTGTGCAGTCAGGTTGTCAGATAGAAAACCTAACTTAGAAACCCCATAAATGTCAAAAAACGATCTTAGAAAATAAGGTCTTTCTGACCCAGCTTCATAACAAAGTTGTACGCAGAATAGGCTCATTAATTTTTTATTTGTAGAATGTATGATTATCAACTACAACTGAATATGAACAAAATTAATCAAGTATGTTTTTTCACCCAAATCGAATAACTTATTTAAATTTTGAAATTCTGAATAGTTCATATAAGTTCATATAAGAGACTCATAATAAAAAATCAATATTTTGTTTATTGTATTCATTGTTTTGCATGAAAATTAAGATTATTTTTATATACTTTTATGGTCAATACATATAGAGGGTCAACTGTCACTCTACTTTTCTTCATCATCTTTCTTTCTTTCTGTCTCTATTTCTTTTTTTTTCACTGTTTCTTTCTTTCTTGCCATCTCTTTCCTTCTCTCTCTTTCTTTCTCTCTCTTTCCTTCTCTCTTCTTTTTTCTCTCCCCTATTTTCTCTTTCTTTTTCTCCTTTATTTCACATTTTCTCCTTCTGTTTCTTTCTTTCTTTCCTTCTCTTTCCCCCTCTCTCTTTCTCTCTCTCTTTATTTCTCTTCTCTCACTTTCTTTCTTTCCTTCTCTTTCTTCAATATCTCTCTCTTTATATATACATATATATGTTTATAATATATATATATATATATATATATATATATAATTTTTTTTATTTTTTCCAATTTCACAAAAAGTTAAATGTTCATCGGTCCCTTCAAAATAAGTAGATATAGTTAATCGTTGAGTATAAATTGTCCAATTGCTTTATTGTTAATTAAATTTATACACGAAATTACGAGTGTTATTCATGTTATATAAAATGTTGTGTTAAAATCCGAATACGTTACATTTTATATAAAATAAATAGATTATTTCAAATCTTGTCTCTCATTTACTTTTATTTCTATCATTTTTAACTTAAAAATTTTATAAGTTGAATTGAGCATGCTACCGGTTTTATTATTTTATACCTCGTTTAACATTATTTTTATTTTGCACTTTTTAATATTTGTTTTTATAATTTTATTAAGTATATTGGTTTGCATATAGGTTTCGGGCATAGAATAAATATGTTGAAAACTAAAACATTAATAACATTCTATAAATATTACACTTGAACTAAATTATTTTGTCTGTAGATTAACAGGAATTTAAATTGGTTGATTAATTACTTTGTGGTATACATCTCATGGCATTGATGCGTTAGCATTTGTTCGATCTTTGTGTGTAGATTTTTACATTTTTTATTGTGTTTTTATGTGTTCTAGCTTGCATTTGGCTTGTTTTGTTCTGTTTTCTTGTATTTTGTACCTTGTATGTCTTTGAACGCAATATTCATGTAAATCCCGAAAATACTTGATACATTTTTATTAAAAGTCTAAATAATTATGTGATAGATACAAATATCATTTATGTAAATCAACCGAATATAGGATAACTGATTTGGAACTATAGAATTTACTTATTGTCTTGAAATCCATTTTTGTTTCTAAAATTCTCTTATATATATTTTTGGCACACTTATTTATGTTTGTAATTATAATTGCAAAATCAACACAACTACCTTGATGTTTATCTAAATTTTTAGTCTCTAATACAATTTCCAAAATTATTTAACGCGTTGCGGCTATTTCTTTCTATATTTGATACTAACTTCTTGACCTGATGAAGTAGATCAGGCCCATATTGAAAATATTATACTAACTACACTATTTCTTCATTTTTCACACACAATATTGAGAGTTCTTTATATTTTCAAACAAACCCAAAAATAATACACTTCTGCAAGGATTTTGCCAACTTTCAGCCCTCAATCCTACATCATTCATAACTCCTTTATTCAATGCTTTCGCACACACCAAATTTTGTTCGTCCCACGCAAATTTGTCTGTGCCTCTCGTACTAAAATGACCAAGTGCGGTCCTGGTGCCTAATGAGTTAGTGTGTGTCTGTTAGGGCACAACATGTCGCAAGCTGACGGCAACAGCACGGAGGGCGAATCCGCCTCTGCCTCTGGCGGCAAAAATCCAGCCCAGATCGGAGTAGGATGCTACAGGAACTACGAGCATTATCCAACCAGAGTACAAGCTGCTCAGGTGAGTAACTAATAATAAAATTATTTTAATTTATAAGTAAACATTTATTAACTCTTTTACTATAAGTGTCGCCTAAAGATGACACCCGCAATATCCGCCTATAGGCGACATTCATCTGACCAAAGGTGGCATCCATCTACCTTTTGTGTACGAGTGTCGCTTATAGATGACATCCGAATGACGACCTGTGTGTCGACTTTTTCTTCAAGATTTTTCACTCTGGTATTACTTATTGAAAATTGTAATTGGTTCAGTGCCTATTCTGCGCAAAACCATACCATAGTTTCACTAATAATAATTAATTATTAGGTTAATATTATTTTGAAACATTTCAATGATTTTTATATTGGCCTTTACAACATTTAGCATTTTTATACTATATATTAATTATTTCTTAATGTTTTTTCAAACAGCCGTTTTTCTTCCTTCTTTCTTCTTTTTAATATCTTAACATAATAATTAAAAAAGAGTGCGCGTAAGGTTCACACGCGATTGAAGTAATACTGTTTTGCTATCGTACGAGATGGCATTTAAGTTTAAAACTAGTGGTGTATGACATCGTGCCTTAAGGCAAATTGCTGGAACTTCCCGTACCGTAATGAAATATTTGAGAAATTTTAAACGTTTTCAAATATATTATTACAAATACTGTAACTTTCATTATTTTTGCTATCTTTTGTTATATCTGAGCAAATCAAATGTAAATCATCAAATCAATTTATCTCCGGAACATTAACAATCGTCATTTTATTTCGAATTCAATTTAAAACTAGTGGGGTGGGTGGCATCGTGCCTTAAGGCAAATTGCTGAAACTTCCCGTACCGTAACGAAATGTTCGGAGAATATTGAATGTTTTCAAATAGATTATTATAAATATTGTAACATTGTCTAATATTTATAAGAATTATATCAACTGAATTGCAGAGTTGAAATTATTTGTTTAAAGTATATTAGAACTATAGTCAGAATTAAAAATAAAATCTGAATTATTTTCGATATACAAAAAATTAAAAAAAAAAAAAAAAAAAAAAAAAAAAAAAATTGTACAAAATTTTTTTTTCCAAAATCAATTATTTTGTTAAGACAAGCAGAGAGTTCTTTGAATCAATTGAATCGGACGCTTAGTTCTCTTAAAAACTGCCATTTTTTGTATATTTAGCTCTGTATCTCCGTAATGGCTGGGCCTGCCTTTGCGAAAAACTAATAACCCCTTCTCCCAATCATTACTAATTGAATGTTTTTTAGATCATTCAAATCGGATGCTCCGTTCTCTCAAAAACTCGATTTCTATTTTCTGCACTCTTTGCTCCTTATCTCCGTAACTGCTGGACCTGTCTTTGCCAAAAACTAATCAGCTCTTCTCCTTATTAATAGGAATCGAATGTTTTTTAAACCATTCAAATCGGTTGATCCGTACGCCCGAAAACGTGGGCGAAAATTTGTATCCATACATACATACACACACACACACACACACATCCATTTTTTCTGAGGTATGCCAAAACGTTCAGAAACCTTCAA